TTCTTTAAACGAAGCCATAAAGACACCGGTTTAAGACCTATTGATTTCGATAAGAAGCATTTCTCAATTTCTTTTCACATATAATACCAAGAATTCAAATCTAAGTAATTAACACAGCTTCAAAGGGATTAAACATCCTTCTTGATCTGGATGAGCTGCAGTACCGAAAGAAGATATTGAAATCTAGGGTTTTGTTGGACATACCAGTTTCTGCAATGGAGAAATCTCTACTTGGTATGTTGATGACTTGTTGGTCCATATTGTTGTCCAATTTCTAGGCAAATAAAATTGTTCTGTTGCTAGGGTTAGAGAAGAATGCATTCTTCATCAAACAAACACTCCAAAAGCACTCTAGAAAAAAAACGGAAAGAAAAGCAAGTTTAGAGTGGGGGGTTCACAATGTTGCTGCACCATTGGAAGAGGATAAGCCACCCAAGAAAGTAACCATAATTAAGATGGATAATTAAGGCAACTCGTGTGTTGACATTCAAGTAGTTTATGATTAGTGAGGGGATCATATGTCCCCATTCTAGGGTTCAGCAATGGGTGTAATGAGATGAATGGTGAAATCTTTTTCCATCTGCAATAATTGCAGGAAGATACTTACATTAAACTATGCTAACTTGGACGGCCAATTTTACTTCGTACAAAATTGGAATCCAAGGGGCGTGGTTAAAGTCAAAAATAGTTAGGTACATAGGTTCTATTTAACGGCTATTAACGGTTTAAGGTCCTTACCAGGAGGTAAAAGTGTTAATAATTACAAGCATTCTTTAATGGGAGATTCCATGAGAAGAGTAGCATAAAACATCGTAAAATCAAGTTTTTCATTGCATACTCAAAATCGCAGCGCTATAATCACTGGGCACGCGGTGAATCGTTAGAAGGGAAACTTCGATAAAATCTTCATTACATTAGTATGGAATGCTTAGAATCAAGTTAATCAGATTAACAAAAAAGCTATGTAGCTGTTGGTTAGTGCTCCCTCTCTCTTAGACCCGCCACATCCGCCGCTTGTCGAAGCTGCCGTAGCTACCACCGTAACTGGCAATAATAGTACTCTTGTCAACAACCAGCATGTCTACAGTCACTATTGCCAGTGACTCCTCAGCCACCACAAAGCCATGTTCGGTCTTCTCTCTCTCCCCGATCGAAACCAGACCTCTGCATAACAGATCTTGTGACGGCGACAAGCATGCCAGATCTGCTTGTTATTGAGTCAGCAATGACGACACACACGGATAGAAGAAATCAGAAGGAGAGCCAGATCAAGGAAAACAACAAAGCTCACATCGAGATATGGATGGTCAAGAAGCCTTCACCAAGAGCAACCCAGCTGTTACATCTCACACCAAGATTTGGCTGCATCATCGAGATGACGACACACATCCTAGAGAGAGCGAGAGAGACGGATTTTTTCTATTTACTTAATGTTGGGTCGGTCTTGACCTACTTCAATTTTTATAAAGGATCTACTCAAACTTGGTGGTTATAGACCTGCTTAACTTTCTACTAATGGGAAATGTGAGAGCAAATGCTTGGTGTCATTGAATGAAACACCGAGAGAGTACTTGGAGGTATCCAACTGCAATTGCGAGTCCTAGGGTTTACATAACAGAGAAGACTGACCACAGAACGAATTATTGAAAAGCCAGGGAGATTGAAAGAACCTAACTAGTACAACATGCACCGTATCCAAAGTAATTTATATGCATACGTATATCTAGTTCGTTTTGGCATCATGTCATTTGTAGTAAATAACCTAGTCCAAATCATCAATAAATATATACGACCGTATCGAAACTTTCACTTTAAGACGAAATATCGTATCTCCATCCTACTCAATGCAATCTCTTCAATGTTGAACCACAAAAAAAGCTACTGCGACTGCTCACAGATATCTGACTAAAAAATTACCGTCCGATCCCGAATGTGGGGGAAGAACATTCTGTTCATCCTCAGCGAGTGGTGGCTGAGATGGCCACAACTAAAGTGGTCGTCCTCAGCACGCAAGGGGTCATCTTCCATTGAGAGTGCTAAGGGTAAGTGTTCTAACATCAGTGGAACAAATCCTCATTTGGTGATTCACGACAGCATTCTATCGCAAACTCTCAAAGTGGAGGAGTCAAAATCCACGTGATGAGATCAACGAAAACATTCCAATTGGGTTTTTATTAGAAGAAAATGTAGATTTGATCAATGCAGTATCTTTTCTATCACAAGAATGATGATCCTTGTCTAGCCCTACAATTTTAAAATATCAAATCTTATTGTTAATGATAAGTGTGATTTCATATTACATTGTCCAAGGATTGAAAGTGAAAATCATCAGACTGATTCTAAGAAAAACTAAGTCCTCCAATAGAGATTCTTTTGATCTTCTTATAGATAGTTTGCAGGATAATTATTCAGAGTGTTAAACCCTACAGCAGCTCTAATTCATTGCTTTGGCACAATGGACCCCTCTGAACTTGCTTCTGAAGTCCACATAACCACATCAACGATCCTTCATTGGGCCATCTAATTTCAAAATATCGCAGATGGCCAAGCCTTCGTTAATTTGCCCGAGCGCAGCGTCTAGGATGATTATATTTCCTTCTTTTACTTTTGTAAAGTGCATCAATGTGGCTCGAACTAAGAAGCGAAGACTCCAATAAGCAATATCAACACAAATTTTACTCACAACAAGCCTCTCCAATAAGCGAAGTCTTTGTACGACGCAAGTATCTGCAGGTTACAACTCAGGCACTTCAACTATGTCTTCATTACTGGAATGTGCAGCTTAATAGATTGTGAATAGTTAGTGCTATTTCGAATGTATTGTAGATGGATCGTTACCAGCATCTGGTCTGTATATTTTGTTGTTCTTGTTCTAGAGTTGTAAAAGGACCTGTAGTGGATCTTGGTCTACCCTAGAAATAAAAAGCTAAACCACCCAAAAGGCTGTCATGCTTAAGGCCACGCTCTTGGTTATGCTTGCTAATGATCGAGTCTAGCGCAACATTTGCGCTCTCTGTTGCCTTAGGTTGCCTCTTAAGTAACATCTTGTAACACAGTTCGCTCTTCAGCAACGAAGTGCTTTATCTAGTGTTGCAATCGTTGTGTTGCCGAAGGTCGAAGTTTGGTGCAGATCGACAAGATTTCATGACCATAAGAAAACCAAGCAATGACCGGAGTTGCATTGATGATATTCATAATATGTACGTATGATGCTCGCATATAACATACAATAGGACCATCCCACGCTTACACACTCAAGCTGATCTTTCAACCTTCTGTTCAGAACTTAGCATTTTCCATGCATAAGCTCTGTGCTGCAAACATGTAGAGTTGCCAATTTATTGGTCATTACTACCTAGTAATTTAGGTGTGATCCTTCGACCATCGTCCCATCGAGCCAAGCAGTTTTAGCAGCCCCCAGGCTTCTTGTTGGCAGACACTGTTATGAGAGTGTGGGGAGAATTCTCAGTCGAGGCGTCGGTAGGAGCACTTGAATAGGTACCGAAAACTTCGTTCTTGGTGTCGTCGCCAGAAGCAAGCGATTGGATCCCGACAGAACCAGTCTGGTTTCTCTCGCTTCCAGGACCGGCGAGAGCGGCAGTCCTAGCATCAGTGAAATTCTCCGAGACCAGTGCGAGGGCAAGGCAGACTGCAAGTACTATCTTCATAATCGGAATTGATTGCCTAACCACAGAAAGAATGGACTAATAAGAACATGATATCACGATCATCTGATAATACAAGATCATTGTTTTATTGTTTTCGGAAGATCTATCAGTTGCAACAAGGATCATTCCTCAATTTGCACCATCCTTCAAAGATTGAAAAGAAAGAGTTGTTGAGATTATGATGTATCAAGTACACATTCTCTCCTTACCAAAAAAAGTACACATTCTCTAAACTTGAAGCCGCTCCAAAAACAACTTTTAAAAAGAAAAAGAAGCAAGTTTGAAGTGGGCTATCACTCTGCTGCTGAACCATTGGAAAAGGTTTAAGCCACGCCCAAGAAGTAATGATGATTAAGATTTGATATCCAAGGCTACTCATGTGATCAAACTTCCAAAATCTTCATAATTCCATTTCAAGAGATCCGGAAAAAATCGAGACGGACTAATCTTACGAATGATGTGATGATAAAAATCAATTCTCAACTCAGAATTCGTATGTAAATTTATGTTTCAGATGGGATCAAGTATGCAACCTATATGATTTGTGAGCGATTTGATCTAGTGGAATGAGCACAGGCACTACCCAGTCAATCTTTTTTAGGGTTCGAGCAATAATGTAAGTAATGAAATGAAAAGTGAAACCTTTCCAATGTGCGATATTTACATCGACACAACGTTAGAAAATTTGCGGACCGAGGAAAAATATAACACCAAAGACAAAACAAAAATTTGGGAGAGTAAAGTTGATAATTGTAATTAGGGTAGAGATTTTTTTTCTTAGAAGACTCGGGCTTGACTAATCTCGTTGGGTCACGACAGTGTTTTCTCGCCTCTCCTTGAGAACGGGTAATTACTGAGGCAAGTGGAGTAGGTCCTTGGATTGCTCCCGAGAAAACTTGTCTTCGCCGTGACGAATTAAACCAGTGTTTAAGGTTTTTTTTTTTCGCTAAAAAAATCGCGTTTTTGTGTGTGAGAGAGAAAGAGGGAAGATATGTGTGACTTGTGAAAGAAATCAAGAAAGAAAAGCGGAAAATGGAGAGACAAGATTCGCGTCCGCTCATCTTAATAACATTCAACTAAAAAAAAAAAAAGCTACAAAACTCACGACGGAAAATCGCAAATTACATTTTTCAATGCAAAAAAAAGATGGTAACAACCAGGGCATATTCAAACAGGGATGTATTTTGAATATCGAGCGAAAAAAAATTAAAAGAATTACTAATATTGCAAATATTAGATATTAATTTTTTTTCTCCGTTCCTCTTAATTTACAATTCTCGATCCCTCAGTATATATAGACTCGAGTTTCGCGCCACCCTCGCACTCAAGAGAGAGAGAAGAGAGAGAGATGAGAGAGCAGAAGACGCCATTGAAGGAGAGCTCGATCTCGCGCTCCCCGTCTCTCAATCGCAGACCGAAGCCCGCCGAAGCTCCGCCGAAGAAACCTGCGCAGGTAAGCGATTCCCCCTCCCGTCTTCCTTCCTTTCCTCGCGCACGAGCCGTCGTCGTCATCGTCGTCGCCGTCGCCGGTGTTCCGTCGGGTTCGAACTTGACCTCGCGTTCGTGCTCGCGCGCTTGCGGAACGCCTCGGCTTGTTCTCCGACCTCTTTTTCAGGTGCCGAAGAAGGCCTCGGGCGGCGAGGGAACGTCGAGGAAGTCGATCGATCTGTCCTCCGTCTCCGAAATCTCGGACGTCAATCGCGATGACGAGACCGCCGAGGTAACGATTCTGCTTCTTCTCGGAGATTTTGGCCGGAATAGGTGAATCGTTTTGAGCTGATTCGGATGATCTGCGTGAACGTAGCCGCGGCGGCGGTTTTTCTGTTGCAAAAATGCGGATGCAGAGACGTGTGCCTGAGCTTATGGTCATCTTTTCGCGCTTTTAGCCGTAATCAGTGTCGATCGCGGATATGATTGTGTCGCGATACCTCTGCCTAGGGAAACCATTTGATGTTAATGCGATGTAGTCAAATTGAAATTGTGCCGTTGTGCAATTAATGCTGCTGTCGGATTTGCGATTTTGTGTCTACTGTTTCATGACAGAGAAGGTGAAGGTCGGATGGCAATCTGGATTCGCAAAGACTTGCTTGATCGTGGAGTTTTTAAGAGCAGCATCTAGTTATAAAATCTTATGCTCATTCCCCTAATGAAATGCTTGATTCGATGACTCGATGCGCGTGATTGCTCAAAGAATGCGGATGCAGAATGTGATGCTTTGATTGTGTGAACTTCAGAATTGATTAGATAGATTTAGGATGCCGTCATTTCTTTGTGTCATCCGAGTCAATTGCATTATGCAGGCTCATGAACTGGTCTTAAGTTGGCTATGCTTGAAACGTTCCTTGGTGGTTAATTCGCCGTAGTTCCTCATTCTCGCTTTGCGAATTTGGGAATCCTAATAATTTGTTCCCAGTATTCAGTTGCTTCCACTCGCTTTTAACTTTATCTGCTATTCCTCGCCACATGATACTGGATGATCCAGAGATTGCCCGACATTATTTCACCGGTTTATTGCCACCCTGTTTGCAGATCGTCATGCAAGCATTTGACCCTTCACCTTCCGTGGGTTCAGTTTCACCTGATCTCAGCTGCTCGTCGGAGATCACAGGTGATGATGGGAGTTTTCTGTTGGAGACCTGTGATTCCAATAAGCCAGGCAATTCCAAGATTGGTTTTCTTGATGCAAAAGTTTCAGCAAATCTTCTCACAGCAACTCGAGCACAGGTCTTAAAGTCGCTCGATGTGAACCGGCAGTCAGTGAAGCTTTTAGAAAGAGCAATTGCGAATCAAGTGGATGGGCTTCATAATCCACCCGGAAAGAGAACTTACTCTGGCGAACTCGCTTCCCTGAACATCCATCTTTTCTTTTTTAGCCTTCTGCTATGGATACTTGCAATGTCAGTGTTTTTCTTCTTCAGTGCTGACTCTCGAAGCATGTCTTATGGCCCTTTACCGACTTAAGGTGTAGGTTTCTATGCTTATTGTGCTATGATGGTGAAAACTGTAGGGTCGATCCCATTGCCGCTCTTCTGTAAAGATGATCCAAACACGTGTTTGATATGGATGTGTCATGGGAACATTGGTACAGCTTTGAATTGAACTGATTAATCAGTTCGGCATGCTTTTCGCAATTGAATAAAGCCATCGGTCATAAACCTATCTTGTGTGTACTGTGACCTGGCCCCAAGGGTAATGAGATGCATATCATCGGTAATTTGTTCTATGTTTTGATTCTTGACCAGGACCTTATGGGGCTCCATGTGTATACACATAGACACCTGACCTCGGAAACACGGAGGTATAGCCAGTTTCCATCAGAACTCAAGCCAGTTTTGAACTTGTCTCAGCTGGGTTCAGGTATCAATCCAATGCCAAACATATATAGGAGGGTTGTTCATTGTTTAAGGCATCCAATGCATGACATCTATGATCTGCATTAAGGGCTAGTTCTCATCTGCCATGCCATGTGCTCTCACTATATGTTACAAATAACTAAACATAGAGCTCTAGGAATTGGTCTGTCAGTTTCGGCAAATTCTTGTGCGCTGTTATGTAGGAGAAGAAACTACTTAGCGACTCTTCTTTTCTATCAGCTAGCATGATTACGAGTTTTCAGTATATATTGTGTGGCCCGGTGGGGTTGCAAATCAATAATGAAGTCGTGTTTAGACTTCAAACTGGTCCTTTTTCTTGTTTGATCTTAGATGCTCTTCGAGTGAATGGAGGTAACTAGTGCTTTCTATCTGAACATGTGAAGATATATGCTGCCGAATCCAAAGCAAGACGTGGAGGCAGATCGGCTCATCAAGTTCCCCATTGAAATAGGATCCACAGGTCGAAATAAGTAGCAAGAAACTGACGGAGGAGAGTTCATGAGTTCCTCAACGAGTTTTGCCAATGGTGGGTTTGGATCCTTTTTCCAGAGTTCTTTCACTTGCGAAGCCTCGAGACCTTGGACCTCGGAACAGTATCGTCAAACGGGCAGGTCGGAGCAGGTTTATGGGCCACCAGCTTCATGTAGTACATATATGAAAAGGAAAGCCCATGAAGCCGTAGATTCCTTGCTCACTTCAATTACGCATATTTCCGTTTTCATTCGACGAAATTTAACCCAATAGAATTAGGAAACAAATTCCAACGCCACATCCCACCCAATACAAATCGAATTTCACATACTTTGATTCGAGTTCGGAAACGGGTTCAAACTCGAGAGATGCTCTGACGAAATCATGTTGTGTGCATAAGTGGGGGTCACCTTCTTTCCCCGTCCTAGACCGATAAGAAAGTCGAACTTCGAGTTAATCACCGATCGACGACTTTTTTCTCTTCCAGAGACGACATTCGACCTCAAGATACCGACGTGACCGGCGCGGTTTTCATCAGAGCGGTGAAGGCGTACTTCTACAATGATTTCCCCTGTCCATATTCACGTACGTACGCAATCGTGTATCTATATCATAGAGTACTAGTAGCCAATCCCCATCGAGAAAGAACCCTACATATCTGGGGCCGAATGCCCTATCTTTTTCTTAATTAGACTGCTCAACTAATCCGATCCGCTAGGTACCGTTGATTCTCCATCATCCGTAACATCTGCGTCTATTCCATCTCTTTCTCTCCAGCCACATGGGGTTTTTTTTCTTCTTCTTTTTTTCTTTAGCAGCCACCGATGGCTCGACATTGTTGCAAATATATGATCACAGGAAAGATTTATAAGAAATCAAGGGGGTGGTCATCAGAAAAGATCCGGCACCAATGGAACAAAACACAAGGTTTTGAAAGCAGTCAACAATCACACGACACGAAGCAGTTTAATAATTCCTAAAGCTGATTAAGCAAGGGAAGCAAGAGGGGGAGTTTTTTTTTTTTTTCCTGGAGATCCATCGGTGTCATGGTTATTAAAATCGGTCGATTCTAGATTCGTATCATGTGATTCGATTTGATTTATGATCTAATCGATACAAATCAATCGAACGAATAACTGATCTCCTAAATCCCAAGCGAGTCTATTGATTCTCTTATTAATATACGGTGCGATACATATATGTCGATTTGATTTTTGTATCTTTACCTATGAAATGTACTGACTTTTATCATATTTTATGATGTGGGCTATATTTTGTTAGTTTCAAGATTATTGAAAGCAAAAAATTTGCACTCTATAATGAAACGATAAATGAAACGACATATAAAGATCCGTTGATTTATAATAGAACGCAATCGTAATGAGTGCCCCATTAACAAAATCATTTATAAATATATATGATCCAGCATACTAATTTCAGATATTTCATCTGTATCTCACAACTCGATTCGATTCTTGACTCATAAATTTAATATTCTGATTCATGAGTGGGCACTTCAATTTAACAGCTATGCTGAGTCTAGAACGATACTAGATGCATCGAGACAAATTACATGGTGGTGGGTGGTATCTGGAAGGCACGATCCCAAACCCCAAAAGAAGCTCCAATAATCTATCTACCACATCAATCTTTGGTGATCTTTGATGCTTTCCTGCTTTGTTAAAAAAGAAACGTTTTCCTTTACTAGGGTACCAGGGTACGACAGTTAGATATGATAGGCTTGTTTCTGCAACTTGCTGAAAAGCGTATTGAAAAAGTGATGAGTGCGCATCTAAAAGTGTAACTGAAGTCACTAACGAAGTGGTTGGCGAGTGGGGGCAGAGATGGGTAAGTGAAGGAGTCGAACCGGCGGGAGTCTCAAGCAAAGTCTTGTTAAAACCGCTTAGTTACCTAGAGCAGATAATTCCTAGACCATATTTTATTCAGAAGCGATGCTAGTATATTTCTGATTAAGGAGGTAAATATAAGCCTTTCGATTACGCGAATCTCACTTGAAGTCCATCAGATCCGAAAGCTGTAATACAGTGTCGTGTCTTAGAATAGTTAGGCAAGGAAGGATGGGCGCAACGAGCTGAGGGGTGATCTATTTATCTCTTTCTTTTACAAACGTTGAATTCGCGCCACGCGATGATTCACACTAATCAGAAAATAAGAGCTATGGGTAAGGAGACCCCTTAACCCATAACAAGCTCACAATACCGGGTTTGCTTTAAAGAGTAATACTAGCGGTACTTAGATCGTTTTACAAAACAGATTTAACAAGTGACGTATAAAAAAACAACATAAATCTAATAAGAGAACCGGTCCATGCATACCATGTCATCTTCACTTTGTAAACCAAGATGGTTAATTGGTCTTTGATATTTTGGAAAATTAGACTTATATGACACGACCTTGCACATGCAGAAACCTCTTCCCATTGAACAAAAGATTTTCAGGCACGTAAACCAACGAACAGGTCTGCTTGAGGGAAAAAGTTCAGGGCATGAATGCAGGGAGTTGGGCTAGGCTCGAACTGCAAAAGTTGCCTCTCTCTCTCCTTTTTCTTTCTTTCCTCCTCCTTTTCCTTCGCGTCAAACGTTGCTGGTAACCCTTTTGCCGTACCGATAATGAAAATCGTTTTACACGCAGGCCATAATTCTTAGCAGCTTTCTTACCTTCAAACTATGGACGATGTTCATGCCGTTCAAGGGCGATCCATGCATCCCATCGAATTCTCGAGACCAACATGTTCATATATCCCTCGTTCATTCTGCTGACATAAGATAGATAGCCGCAATTATTGAAGTACTTTCTTGATGAATCCCACGAACATGTGAATTGAGATTCGCACCATGTCACCTTCCAGCGGTCCGTGACGGTTTCCGGATTTGGCTGGTACGGTTTCAGTTTGGCTTAGAGTTGAGACTCCTTGAGAGATGTTATTGGAATTTCATTCTTGGACTGCCTTATTTGAATGGAAGTTATCATGTAAAATTTGAATTTTTTTGACCACCTTACTCGCCCAATCGAAAAGGAGAAATTGTTTCGTCTTTTTAAATATACCAACCTTAAAAGATTAGTCTGCTTGGTGGCTGTTGAGATGTCTCTAATCATCTCTCTCGTTTTTTTATTAATGACACCGTCAGTATGCACTCAAATACTTAAATTTTTCTAGTTGTTCAATTGAGTACTCGAACTTTTCGAACTACACTCAATCCAGAGCTTCTGTTAAGTACATGAGCGGAAATCGCCCATGTGGCGCTAACGCCGTTAAGTGACCGTTACATACGGCGGTGTGGATGCTTGCAAGGAAAATTTGTATCCACCTCCACAAAAGAATAAATCGAGGGATCCACGTCAACCTCTCTAACACGGTTCGTGGGCTTACGGGATAATTCATGAATTTCCACAATATTGGATCTCTATGCCCGTACTCCCGAATTATGAAAAGAGAAATAAAATCACCAATGTTGCCACTTGCACCACACAATATTTTGCTCCCATATGCAATTTTTCAATGCCCCTCCTCCGTTTTGGTGGGAAATGTTTCATTGTGTCGAACCCAAGGGAGGCAAGCTTCCCTAGAAAACCAGTACACAATAATGCCTATGAAGAACTAGAAAAAGCATTGGTCCAGACACTCTCCTAACCTCTTCCTAAAACGAGTTAGGTTTAGGATGATAAGTCACACCTTAGATCTAATCGAATCAAACCCATCATCATTACAGCATTCGAGGGACTTCTTGAGAGGCACATTTTTGTGGTGCGCTCCATGTGGGTTAATATCTTTTATATATATTAATGTCGCTTTTTTGTACTTCGAAGCAAAGATTTAGTGCTCTTGATTCAAGATTACTCCTGTTTAATGAGTACAAATCATTTAACCACATCTCACCAGCCTCCACAAAAAGAAAAAAAACCCTAGGTTTTGATCTTCCCCGTGTTTATTGTCTAACACATGCAATACCGTCAAAGCAATAGCAATCCATGAACTTTTTTTTTCCTTTCAAATTAGTTAATGAACGATCTTTATTTAATTGTGATGACCATATAGTTTTCTACAAGATCATTATCGGGAGCCAGCTGGAGCAAACCAAGCAAGGTTCATGTGAGTCCTAGAGCCACAAAAACATGTCCATGAATTCATGTGAGAGATCATATAATTCGGCTTAAGCTTTTTCTATTGATCATTATGATATAACTATTGTTTGTTTTTTCTCTCTTATCATGTAACATTAGGACGGGTGCCGAGGATGTGGGGCATTAGGGTCCCTCGATTGGCAATAGAAAATCCCAAGGAATTTCAATCAAGAGCCTATAAAGCCAACACACCACATGCAATTCTGCTTTGTTTAATTATTGTTATTTTTTTCTTTTTGGGGGATCATCACCAGCAGAACCAATCATTGCTAGGTATGACAACAAAAGAGGACCCACCGACCGCCACTCGAGGGTAGTGGTGGTGGAAGCCAACACCACAAATTTTGGGGAATATTTTTAATTTATCCTCTCTTTTTTTGTTGTATTCTTAATCAAATTATATTATCCTATCTTCGTCAGGTCCATTGAGCGCAAAAAATATATTTCAGGAGCAACAGAATTTTGACGGATTATCAACCATATTGAAATGTATGAATTGTCATTACATCAATTACAATCCCAGATTCAACGGAGAGTGCTTATGGGGGTGAACCTCTTATTGAGAAATGTAGACCCCAAAAAACCATTTTCTTGGGTTTGATTTTTAGTTTTAAAAAAATATATTTTTTATTAGAGGGTGATTGAGTGTATATGTATTTTTTTCAATAGGTTTAGACTCAAATGACTGTGTGTCAATTAGCCCTTAATTCAGCCCTTGAATGGCATGAGAATCGTCCCGTAAGGATAAACGGAAAAAGTGGGAACTTGTATCTCACAACTTCAAGTACATAGGGAAAAAGTGGGAACTTGTATCTCACATGTTGAAGTACATGAGCCCGTTTTTGCTTTTGGATCAAATCCGTCGGACTTCCTAAAACTCATATTATAAGTGTAATTAAATCTTAGAAAGCTTTTAAATGGTGTAACTAAGTCCTAAAATTTGTAAACTTTGCATTCTCAAAGACGTTCTTTGGGATATATTAATTAGTAGGCGATCGATAAATTCGATGTGGCATTTTTCTTTTGGTGCTTTCTTTCCTCGAGTTTTCTTTTAGGTTACCTGTGTTGATGTGATGATAAGGTGTCGACAAATTTAACTAAGCAAATTGGAACATACTTCGAAGAAACTTTTAGGTCTCAAGATTTCGACATATCCAGTATAACATTGTAGAGAGTGGAAGCAAGAGAATCAGATATAATTCCTTACAAAGCCCCCTTGGCCTATATCTGTATGAATAGTCTTCCTTTTCACCATATATGATACATAGAATTTAATTTTATGCGTGAAAATTGACTTGAAATATCACGTGACATCCAAAAAGAAATAAATACAAAAGTTCTCGTGGCGGATAAATGTTGATCGAAGCTAGTGGGGCTTTGAGATTTACTACGAAGAAAAGCTGAGGATGAGAAGCCAAACTGAGGGCTTGGCAAGCCCGCTCCACGTAAGCAATTAGATCATGTGGATCTGGCATTAGATCATGTGTGGATCTACATAATCAGACGATTCATGTGAAGTGAGAATTAATAAACAAAGAGAGTGTGAGGAGAACCCAAAAATAGCTCTTCTTTGGGAAAATAATTTGTTACTAATGAACTATGTGAGTTCATTTATTTCACATGAGCCGGCAAATCATGTGTAGTGAGCGCATTCATCATCGATGAACCAAACCCCAATTGCTAATGATAGCAACTATTTGGATGTTTGCACCTCAAAGTTTTCATGTCCCACCAACTCAAAAAGCTGAAAAACAAAATTGGAAGTTGAACATAATATTAGAACAAAAAAATACTTTTAATTTTATTTTCAGAGAAAATCTACTTCCTGATATTTGTAATATAGAAATAAAAGCATTGTGAATTGTGGTTGCGCATTTCTTTTATAAAAAACAAAAGGGTTTCTAACGTTTTATCGGGTGAAAGCGCATAACAGAGAGTGGTCATTTATGAAATGAGTGGATATAAGAGAAATAAATGAACGGCAATTTAGATAATTTAAAAGCGAGACAAAATATTATTTTGGCTTATGTATATGGATAATATATACGGGCGTGTTATGCATGGAAAGAAAATTAGTATTTATGTATAATAAGCAGGCATAAGATGGAGAAAGTAAGGGCAATTTAGGAAATTCAATAGCGAGAAAGGGAAAGAAAAGAAAGTGGGCGGTCATCTATTAAAAAAAAAATTGGTGGGTGCGGTGGAAAGAAAGGAAGCGAGGAGGAAATCCCAAATGAGATAAATAAGCGATTTTACTTAAATAAATAGATTTAGAAATACAGTTTCGGTGAGAGATTAATCGTGCATTTAATTTAAAAATAATTATTCATATCGCTTGTCGACGAAAAATGTTTTCATCGTTAACGATGAAAACATTGGGCTCGAGATGGCTATGGACGAAGGAGGAGGAGGGAGAGAGAAAGGGGGGAAGAGGCGCGTCAATTTCTAAATTACACCCGAGCCCATAAATGCGCGCCACATCAACCGCCGGTCCGATGCATGTCATTGGCGCCCCCCCCTCCCCCCCCATGTAAAAAATCGCTGCTCAAGAAAAGCCTCAAAAGACAAGAAAACCTAAGAAAAAAACCAATAAGAAAAAAACGAGAAGGCAAATCGCATAATCATAGACCCAAAGCAAGCACACACACACACACACACAAAAGAGAGGGAGGGGGGGGCCGCGAAATGATCGAGCGGAGCAATATAAAATGTGTGAACGGCAAAACGACGCGTGCTCTTTCTTGATACCTTCTCTCTCTCTCTCTCTCTCTCTCTTTCTCTCTCTAAGAGCATTCCGCCATCTTTATCTCCTTTCTCTCGCGTCCCCTGTTCGTTCGTCATCAGAGAAAGCCTGCAGATGCATCGACCCATCCCAGCCACGAGCGAGAATTCTCGCCGATCGCCTCACCACCTTCGTGTCTGATCGTTTTCTTGATCCACCCACGTCACTGAATCGCTGAATTCCTTCCGGGTTCCCCCCTGTTCGGATTCCCTCTCTCTGCCTTTCTCTCTCTAGAGATAAGCAGCAGCAGCTCGCATCCGTCAAAAAGCTGCGGAATTCTGAGATTCTTGGGGTACCCTTTTCCGTGTTTGAATCGAGGAGCCAAATCGGATCGAGAAACCACCCAAGAACGATACGATGTCGTCATCCCTGATCTCGCCGAACCCGATCCCGACGAGCAGCCCCGCTACGGCCGGCGGCGGCGACCGCTCGCGGGAGGCTAAGACGAGGAGGAGGAAGAAGAAGGCTCAGGCTCAAGCCCAGGCTCAGTCCAAGGGCCGGAGCCAGTCCTCCAAGTGGAAGTCCCATGCCCAGCAGCAGATCTTCTCCTCCAGCCTCCTCCAGGCCCTGGCGCAATCCCGGCGCGGCGCCGGCGGCGGAGGGGGAGGAGGAGGGGGCGGCGGCGGCGGCGGGAGGGCCGTCCGCGAGGCGGCGGACAGGGCCCTGGCGGCGTCGGCCAAGGGGAGGTCGCGGTGGAGCCGGGCCATCCTGGCGGGCCGGATCAGGATCAGCAAGTTCAGGAAGCGGAAGAGGCCCGCGGCTGCGGTGGCGGCTGCGGCGGCCGGCAGGTCGAGGAAGCCGAGGGTGAGCGTGTCGAGGCTGAGGGGGAAGGGGATGCCGGCCGTGCAGAGGAAGGTGAGGGTCCTCGGCCGGCTGGTCCCCGGCTGCCGGAAGGAGCCGTTGCCGGTGATACTCGAGGAAGCCACCGACTACATCGAGGCTCTGGAGATGCAGGTCAGGGCTATGAGCGAGCTCGCTCGGCTCCTCTCCGGCGTCGCCTCCACCGGCGCCGGCACGAGCTCCGACTCTCCTGCCGCGCCGCCGCCGAGCCAGTGACTCCGGCCGAGCCACCGGTCGGCCGATCGCTCGGGACAACTTCCATTTTGTGAAGCAATCTTTCGCCTTGAATTGTTTCTATCTTCTATATGATATTGTGAATATACATGCTTTGGGTTATTTTTTCTCTCTCTAATTTCTTTTTTTCCAGTGGTATTTTAGATTTTTATCTCCCTCCTAGCAGCTTTTATGTTTTGCAGGATCATTAATTTTTTTTCGACATTAATAAACAAATTGATTGTGGCTCAACGTAGTAATCTTATATCAAATCGATCGGGAGTTGAGTCGAGGTAATTGAGATTGGACAGGTTTGTAGCGACTCGAATTTGATTTTGAAATTGAGTTTTGGAAACGATTGATTTTGTTTGTTTTGTTTTATGCAAATCACAATACCTAGGAATCCTATCCAGTTTTGATTTAACTGATCAGGTAAGTCAAACGTGTTAGTTGCAAAATAATTAATTTGATTAAAGGGTAATGTGTTGCAGTTTCGTCAAGTGCTTATTCAATGACTTTGAGAAAAAATTTCAACTTCAATTTCTCTTGCCAGAGAGATTGTAAGGAATCGAAAACCATTACAAAAAAAATTGTACCACTCAATGTAAGAATCGTCTTGAATTATCTCATTACTTTTTTTTATTTAGTGGATTAAGTTATTGCCTGCTTACTTACCCCATCATTCAATTTATCGACCTAATCAAATCTTTCATAGCATTTTAGTTATAGTCATCAGACGAGTTCCATCTTTTATCAAGCGCTGATTTTTGTAATTGTCGACATTTGATTGGTTTAGCGAAGATCCCTTGCTAATTTCCCAAAGGCCCACTTCAGCTTTAGAGGCTCGAGTATGGTCAGTGCTCTATCGGTTCACACGAGTCTATGTTAGAAATGGGTAACGCCTATTGGTGATACAAATCCCAAATCGGTGAATAATGCCAAAGGAATTTGCCCGAGGGGAATGGTCACCGGTGAATATGAACCAAAAGACAAAGGTAGTACCACTACCAGAGCATGTAGCAAGCAAAGCACATGTAAAAATCACCAACACAAGGGAGTAGTACCCAAAGAAGAAGTGGGTTTCCCTCCAAAAGTGCAAAAGAGAAGTTAGAATCGATTGACAAAAGAGAAAGGTTGATATCATGCAAAATTCCAAATTGGTATATCTGTGATAATTTTACTCCAAATTAATTTTTTAACCACAAAATCCCCACAAAATTAGTATACATGTAACAATTTTACCCTTTACTAGTTTCCGTTAAATTTTACCGTCAAATTTCTAAGTTGGATGACACGTGACAGTTGATGGATGTGACAGGTTTTACCAGTTTGTGGTTTTTCGCGGTATTAATCAAATTTAACGGAGGATGAATTTGTCACAAATGTATAGGTTTTGGATTTCTGTTGATAAAAAAATTAGTTTGAGGTGAATTTATCGCAAGTATATCAATTTAAGATTTTTCGTGACATTATAAAAATAAAATAAAAAAGCCAACTTTTGCTCTGTGATGGAATCAACCTCAGTGCCAAGAGAATTGACAGAAAAGTATAATGAATAAATAAATTAATTGAAAAAAGAAAAAAAGAAGGGAGGAGGAGGTATAATATCATTGGCCTTTGATGATTGCAACGGGGGAGGGGACCCCACCGAGCAATCAAAATCCGGTTCCCACAAAAATGTCGGGTCAAGTAGTCCCTCAAGATATTCCCCGACTCCATCGCAATCATTCCCCATCCTCTTCCATCGTCGCGCCTCGCCTTCCCCCACTGAAACACTCGAATCGCGCGTATCCAAGCACCAAGCACCAAGCACCCCTCCGCTAATTACTTACTTTCACCAAAGCTTTTTTTTTCTATGTAAAGAATATTTGGTGCGTGTCCACTAAAAAAAAGGCACCGTTCACGCGTAATTATCTGCTCGTTTAATTGAAATTTTTTTTTTTGATTAAATGGCATTCGAGAAAGATCGAGAGCGAAAGAGAGGCGTCGGAGGGGGGGGGGGTTGGACCGGGCAGCCCCCCTTTGTTCCGACCTCTCGCTGTCCGTCCCCCATGCTCAATTAATTGGAGCACACGTTTGCCCCCGGGGGCCGGGTCAATTCTCGTCGCTATTGGATCGATTGGGACCGAAGGGGGGCAAACCCGCTGGCATTAACCGTCAAGATGTACCGTGCGCCGAGAAACTTTGCGTATCCCGAGCGTTCTTCGGAGGATTTAATAATTCCGTTCGAAGCGATTTGATGGGCCGCGCGTCCCGATCTCCCCGAGAGTCGTCCCGTTTCAGTGTTCCGAGCATTCTTCGCCCCGCGACGTGTGTGTCGCGTCCCAGATTTAACGATTCTTATCGGTTCGTTCGGAGCAAGATACTATGTGCTCGCCGAATAGTAGCTGATGTACCCAGGAATGATTCTTATTCTATACTACACTATGACCATATTTATCTAGTAGCCTCGTGATACAGATTGGATTCTCCTGTATTCTAATACTTTTGTGAGTGGAGCTTTGTGGCATTGGGGTGGAAAAGGGAGTGATGTGGAAGTGATGATACCATTGGTTCGTATGAGTGGCATTATAGCATTTGTGCTAGGAGTTCTAGGATAGAATGATTATAATTCCGAAGAGCTCTGTAGGTGGGGTTGGCCTCCCGTACACAAATTGGTCAGGAGCCGATACCGCTTTCCTGACGAGACCATGGAATGCCGAAATTAGTTGTTGTGTCAAAAGTGTTTGAAGTGTCTCGCTCGAAGGACCGGACGTCCAAACTAAACTGGACGTGGTACGATTCAATACGATTCCGCTGTTCGGCGTACTGTTCTTAAGAAAAACTATAGAAGGAATGCTGGTCTGATATTCTCAGTTCACCAGACGCCACACGGGCTATTCCGCGGCCCAGAATTTCTCGGCTTGTGACACATTAAATCAAATTCCTATCTGTGCATGACATAGGCGAATAAATTAAATATTTCACGATAAACTTCACCTATAGTCCCTGGACTTCAACACATCTCGTGATCTCATTACCAAATTGTAATTTCAGTTTCATTGCTTCATAAACCGACCAAAAGGGCGATTCAAATCATCACTAAATCTGCCAAGTATTTTTGCGATCATCAATCAAATTCATCCAAGAATAGTGCTCATTCCTCTACGGTCACTTTACATGGGTCCGTCCGTCGGTCGAGATAATAATTGAAGGGAGGGGGGGCGTTGATTTTGGGCTATAATTCGGCCTGGACATGTTTTTGTACACGGGAGAAAAAGCACATGGTCAGCATTTATTTCGATTTGTCCACACATGCAAAGGCACCCACCCATGTGGGTTTTCTCATTTCGTGCCTTTTTCTCGACCCTATATTCCTATTTTCTCTGCTTTTGGAGGTTTTTCCTCGCCTTTTCTCGACAAAGATGAAATTCCTTTGTCCTCGCCGCAGATTCTCAGGCCACCTTTCTTTACCTGTCCACATCTACAAAAATTTATAAATTTTTTTTTTTGACCCTTTTCTCTTTTGGGTGGGAAAAAGGAAAACGATAATAATGAAAAGGAACAAATTCACGTGCTTGTGGATAGACCAAAACATGTGGAGTGCCATCTTCCTCGTAGTCCTCCTCCTCCTCCCTCCCTCCCTCCTCTGTTTGTACTTTGCTCGATCGCTTCTCGAGCTCTCGGGGGGCTAAATGAAAGAGAGATTGGAGTTGATATATATTTAATTGTTGATTCTAAGTTTTGCTTTCTTGTTTTGACCCTAACATTAATTTCATTAACTTTCATCTCATCTTTTGAGGTACATGGGTAAGCCATGGAGGTATATAGAATCCATTAAGAGTTCAAATTTTTAGATCATGATCTATCTCTTCTTTAAATGGCTGGGTTTGTTGGAAATATAGTTGGCTTGGGTCCGAGAATGTAAATAGTCAAGAGCAATTACAGTTTTATAATTTAATTTTTTTTTCCATAACTGGCGTTATCTGCTCTTAATATGATGGTTGGTGAGACAGTGGGTAGTTACAATTTTCAAATCGAAGACGGATAAAACCGTGTGTGCAAAGAAAGGTACACGCTTTAATTTTCCAGAAATAACCCACTCTTTGATCATCACCCCTCGATATCGAATGCATCGACAGTCCCAACTCTTATACAATGTGCCGGGTCAACATATTTAGTAGACCTTCTTTGTTTAATTTCATAGATTGCTTCTCTCTCTCGATCTCTCTCGATCTTGTTGTCAGTGCTAAAAAGGTCGGGCTTCTCGACTTGACCGAACCCTATAGAGAGTCAAGAACTCACTGTTCGGAATTGGAACTAAGTCGTTGAAATCCTACAAGTTTTGGATTGCAGGATTAAACCGGAGCTACCTATCTTTTAAAATCGCACTTTGATCGGTTACAATTGCACATTACTCATTGAGCTCAAGCATAGTCACAATACATATCGATCTAAACTCGTCCCGCTTCCATTTCTACCTCTTCACGCTATCCTTTGCAAATAGAGAGTGCAAAAAAGAAAGAAAGGGAACACAAATCCATCGTTGCTGATGATCAGACGAGTTGAAAAGAGACATAGACGACGAGTAGATTCCCTAGATGGGGGGGAAACCATTCTTCGAGCATCATAGCAGCAGCCATACAAGCTGAAAAAATCATTGCTCAACACGAGCCATTGTCGCGAAAAACCCTAACAAAAATAAGTTGCAAACATACCTTTTTTTTTTTTTGCCATGCAAGATTAGAATCTCTTCCCTTTTGTGCGTGGTGCGCAACATGTGATGATGTGAGATATAACCACAGAAACATAGGAAAAGCAAAGAAAAAGCACATGCATTAAAACATCACAAGAGAAAGAAAAGAAAATGCTCCCACATGGAGGGCCCGAAGCTTTGTCCCTTTGAAATCGAGTACGTAAAATTAGATAAGAAAAAAGAGAAAAAAAGGGTCTCTTAGATGGCAAGCCAAATAAATATGTTTATTTTTTTCACCACTTGATATATAAAATTGAAACCACCGAAATTCTCTTTGTTTCGTTCCATGCTGTTGTTCGATGGGGTTTTCCTTTTTCCCCACTGGTCAAGTGGGTGCATTGTTTATGTACTCGAAATGGGAAATTGTCCGACCAATCGCAAGTCTATTGGACGGATGTGAATTCGGTCATAAATTTTTCGATTTTTGTCAATTTAGTTCTAAACATTTATGTGAAATTTCAATGTAGCTCTTCCGGGCAAATTTCGCCAAAAATCATGTAAGACGGCCGACAATGACTGGACCGTCACGTCAGTGATTTCCTGCGAAAATTGGCCGATAAGACTACATTGGAATTTAGCGCAAAGGGCTAAGACTGAATTACAAAAATCAAAAAGTTTAGGACCAAATTCGCATGTTTAGGACCGATTGGTCATTTTCTGTCGCTCGAAGTATCATGGATAGAGACAATAACATGCGACGTTCTATGGAAATATTGTTATATATTCTTTGTCCTAGTTTATTGATATTATTTTACTTTACGCAAAGTTGACCCCATGTCAAAGTAAACGATTTTTTCCTAAAAAAGCTCAAGACTAAACAAGAACAGCCGATCTTTCTATGACGAGCACTCATGAAACAATGCAAGAAATGATTGAATCATATCACCGGGCAACGGTTAGAGTACTACTGTGGCGTCTTTGGTTGACATCACTGTTAGAAACTAGTGATTGCCGATGTTTGAACGATGAAAGGTGCGAATGATGACAATATTTAATGTAGATAGTCGGGTGTCGTAACGTAAGCTTTATATATAGCTCTCTCCGGTGCTCATTAGAACAATCAAGTTAATCAGATACCGATTTCGATACGATCTTCATGTGTTCGAACTTCATGCATGCATGAGAATGGTCATCAGAAGAGGAAGGAAAAAATACGGGGGAGCTGAGAAATATTCCTAGAAAAACTATATTTATGGGTCACCTCTTTTGGCGAACCTAGGAGAGAAAAACCCTAATGTTCCTTTCTCACCTACAATTTGTCCACTTCAATAAATGCACTCGGCATGAGATCAACTGTTCACTTTTTCGTGTACAATGAATCCGTGCCTCCGGCAAGGAACTAGTGGCAGTGTCATTTTCACCCGAAAAGGGCGGGGCCACTATGGATAATTACATCAAGCATATTGCATGTTCCCTCTATGTTTGTGCTTGTGTGTGTCTATGTATATATATAGAGAGAGAGAGATAGATTTGACTAAGATTTTCCTGAATCTCTACTTGACTTTCAATACTAAGATTGAATATATGTATCAAGCATTCACACTAGATAGTCAATGTGGCATGGTCGAGCAACAATGTGTAACTAAATCTAACAAGGTTTTCGTTGAATCTTTTGAAGACTCATCACATGAAATTCTGTAGATTACGTTGGACATACTTAGATTAATTAACCGAGATGATTCATAAAGTGACACGATAGATATTCTATTTGGTCGACCCACTTATTTTAAGCGGTCGGTTTTCACGGTGTGTCAAATAAATTGCTTTTTTTAAACTGGTATTACTATACTAATTCGGATTAGTCACATCTATCTACATTGCCTAATTACTTACATAAAATATAAGTATAGCTCATATATTAAAAAGTGTGAAGCAAGTCGTATATAGATAGATTAGACACCTATCATCTTTATGGATGGGAAAAAAGCATGGTACATGGAATGAAGTGTGATTGAAATTGAGAGGCTCCTTACCTAAGTGGGTGCGTGTTAGGCCAGCCTAATGTGCTTGCCCCCATTTATTTGGATAGCTGATTGATTTAAGAAAGTTTTATTTTATTATCCTATGATGGATTCTTTGCTCGATGCATGCACGGTGGTTGTGAATTATTGGACTTTGGCCATGTGAAATTGAATCAGGTGATTAGGTAGAAAACCCTAGTTTGCTACATATGTTTAAATTCTTGATGGGACCGTGAAACTTGTGAGCTTAGATTGCTTTTATCACCTTCCCTTTTAGCTAAAAGAGGCAAGCAGTGAGGTGATTGGAAACCCGAGCAGGAGCAAAATCAAAGAAAGCTTGCCGTACGATCTCAACGTAGCATGCTATGGGCGCAATTTCAGGCGCCCGCTAAGTCCATGTCAGGCGACCAAAAAAGTCGCTTTCTCGAGCCGTCCGGCAAAAAGCAATAACGCCTAAATTCGAGCAAATTCTACACATTGAGAAGCAATTTCACGAGTGATGATGATCATGTCTTTTTAAATGGAAGATTTGAAAAAAAAAAATAAGGATTTATGAAAGGTAATATTTGAGATCACCTAATCATTCTCGAAAAGGTTGTCCATTTTTCTAGTGAAAAATAGTGCTCAAAAGAGAATGGGCTTGGGTTAAAAGGATCTGGGCCGGACCAACCCAAAGCCCAGGTATGACTCCGATCTGGTCACGTCCCGGAGACTCGGGCCTAAACGGGCCACTTTTTTAGACCGGCTAGCCCCGGTCCGCAAGGCCCGGCCTGAATCGGAAGAGATCCTCCAGAACGACGTCGTGACCGTCGGACTCAAGGCGACTCCAGAACCACCCCGCACGACGTCGTTTCAGCTCCCAATACGCACACCCCTCCTCCCTTCGTCTCTCTGCACAAGCCCTTTGCTCGGGGAGGTGCGAGAGAGAGCGACAATGGCGTCGCCGTCGGCGGGTCCAGGCGAGGTCGCGACGGCGAGGAGAGGAATGGCGGGCGCTCGGTTCCGGGGAGATGTTCGGACTTAGCGGCGCTCGGTCAGGCCTCCGACGTCGACCCTGCTCCCGCTCACCTGCAACAGCGGCGGTACTCACGAATCACATTCTTATTGCTTCGTGTCTTTTTCGGTTTGTTCGTTCGCCGCCGGCATTCCAATGTCTAGCTCGTCCGAGCTTCGCGAGCTGAGTGTTCAATGCTTTGATTTGGTTGAAATTGAATGCCGTTACGCGCTTGGCCCGGTTCGGGGAGGTCTAGGGCTTTATCGCTTGGAGGCGTGCGTAGTTGTGTAGTTGTGGCGGGTCACTGTGTGAAAGCTCTGTGGGAAACTATCCTGAATAAGCAGCAGAGATGCTGGTGGAGGAGAGGAGCTTAAATTTTGGATTTTTTTCCCAGTCTTAGAGTGCTTGCTTGCAATTGGTATGGTGCTTGCTTGCAAGCTTGGGCAAATGCTAGTTGGTAGAGATGAAACTCCTAGCTCAACTTAGGGATCTTAGAGTGGGGTTGTCGTGTTTCGCTCTGTTGGTTTGATCTGGATGATGATGATGCAGCTGCTCATAAATCAGAGGCACGTCGTGGAGGTCTAGGGCTTTATTGATTATAGGCGTATGTAGTTGTGCTTCCGGCTTTAGTTTGGAGGTCGAGTGGCGGGTCATTGTTTGAAGGTTCCTGTTAGAGATTATACTATTTAGGATTAGGTTAATTGTAATTAAGTCTAATTGCATTCACGCCCTCTATACAGGGCCGAGTATTCTTCATATGTGATTTATACACAACATTACATTTTCTCTCTGTTTTACCATAAATCTTAACATGGTATTAGAGCCCTTCTTGTTATCTGAGGAAGCGTTCGACAAGTCTGTACCACGGTGATCGTAGCAACGCCAGCCGCATTCCTCCGCCAAGTCCGTAGTTGTTCTTCACTAGGTGCTTAGCCTTTGGTTGTTGTTTCAACACCCTTCCGCCGCTTGTTTTGAAAGCGAACACCACCCTTAGATGAGCCAAATTTTGAAATTTGGTCGTGAACAGACGCCGGACGTCGCCACACTTACCGCCTTGTCTCGGATCCACCAAGCTTGTTGCTCTTGAGTGCTATTTTGACACTTTTCGGTTGCTTGTTTCATAAAATAAACACCATCTTCGGGGTCATCGTCCTCCAACGAGTTAGATATTGGAAACCTCGCTATGATCCACTGCCTCACGTGCCCATGTGTTGCTCATGTGACCAGATGTGCTAGCCATGTTGAGTGATGTCATCATCATGTCCCAAGCACCAACAGTGCATAGTGACGTCATCGTCACGTGCCATCCATCAGCCATGTGTAGTGGCATCATCTGCCACTTCCGCTGCCATGTCATCTGCCCTGTCAGTGGCCATGTCATCCTACATCCATTGACCATTGATCGGCGTTGACCACGTCCCCTGCTACGTCATCGTTTCCAATCAGTTCTTCACATTCTTCACATTCTTCATCCATTATATGCTGGTTTCAATTGGTAAATTGCATATCATGGATCAATTGCAAGCTCCCTTACCTATTCATATCATTTTGAATGGATCAAATTATATTTTATGGGCTCAAGAAATATCCGGTTTTTTGTGAGGACGCCGGCTTTGGCGTTATATTACCAGTGATATTTGAGAGCCTGCTAAGCTTATTTGTTGAACGCTTGGATGAATGGGATAGCAAGAATCATCAGTTTCTAACATGATTTCGAAACACTTCGATTCCATCTATTTGACTTCAATTTGATCGATTCGATACAGTAAAGTAAGTTTGGGATCTGCTTACAAGCCATTATTCCACTTCGGATATTGCCCATCAGTATCAACTGCTAGAGAAGCTACAACATATGCGTAAGGAGATTGGTCAGTCCATCAATGATTTTTTATCTTCTATGCCTGCCATCTGGGATCAATTAGCCTTATTTGAACCACGACGGGATGTGGCTACTGATGCTTGCAAATTTGCTGAGTACCGTGATCGTATGCGTGTTATGCAATTTTTGATAGCCTTGAATGATGAGTTTCAACCTGTGCGAGCTTCACTTTTGCATAGAGATCCTTTTCCTCGTCTTGAGACAGTTGTCTCGGAATTATTGACCGATGAGACTCGACTGGCTACTTTAAAGGTGCAAAGCGATACCATATAAATATCTACACCTACTGATGCGGTGCTTGCTACTTCCACTTCTTCCTCATTGTGCAACCAATTTTGTAAAGCATTGTCACCGACATGGTCATATGGCATCCAATTGCTACCGACTACGACGTAAGTAACTTACACGGCCAGACAATCGACCCCGAAACCGAGGTCCATATACAAGTTTGTTCGCCACTGATCCTACCATAGATGCTTCTCCAAAGGGATTTTCGTCACTCTATTCTTAGAGGATCTTTGTACCATTCTTCGAGAATCTGGTACTTCTAGCTCATCCACGATCACATGACTTCAGATTCTAACGTGCGTCAATTTAAATCCTTCACTCTATGTCTACCTACTACTCACAAATTTGAATAGCCAATAACTCACAAATGAGAGTCAGTCATACAGGAAACTTTTCAACATCTACATTACCCTTATTAACTCCTTTTTGGTTCCCAAACTCTCACTAAATTTGATTTCTGTAAGACAATTGTGTGAACTCGGTTTTGATAGTCACTTCTCTTCTAATGATTGTCATGTGCAGGATCCACGGACGGGACAGACAATTGGGACGAGCCATAGAGTTGGACACTTTTGAGCTTGTTACCTTAAATATCTGGAACTCTTTTGCTAGTTTTGTAGCCACGGTGTCATTGAAACTTGGCATTCTCAATTAGATCATGCTTCTGCATCTATATTAAGTTCTTTGATTTCAAGTTGTCATCTAGGTTTTGTTGGCAATAAACATTTTGATTGTTTGGTTTGTAAGTTGGAATCTTGGTGAATTTGTCTCTCATGCTTCCTTTGATCTGATTTTCTTTTCTTCGATATTTTAGGACTATCTCCAATCCCCACTGTTCTCACTATTTTAATTTTTGTTGACAATCAGTCTTGTTATACCTAACTTTACCTAATGAAAAAATTGGTCTGAACTTAGTCATACCTATCGTGATTTTGTTGCCATGATGAAAACATAATTTTCTCAAGATATCATCATTCATTGTTCTGGTCCTGGAACTTCCCAACAAAATGGTCGAGCAGAATGTAAACATAGACATGTCTTGGATGTTGCATGCACTCTTCTGGTCTTCCTCTCTTGTCCTAAACACTGTGGAAAGGCTTGTCATACTGCTTTATTCATCCACTCGTACTTCTGATTATGTAAACTAGATTTTGGGGGAATTTTTTGTATTCTTTCACAAGTTGATTGGAAAGTGGTGGTTATCTGCTTTTTTTAGAACAAGCTTCCCTTTTAATAATTTGATTGAGATGCGCTGAATTGTTGGACAAGTTTGTGCTGAAACTGCGAGGTTTTAAATTTTGAAGATGGATTGCAGTTACCACATGACTGTTGCTCCTTCTGTTACTTCTTGACATCTAGTGGGGTTTGATACAGGTTCTTCTTCTTGATAGCTAGTCAAGACCAAGTTAGATCAAGATGTTCACAAATAATTAGCATAAAAACAAGACTTTAGGTCTAAAAGGCTTGTTTCGTCATTTATCGAAAAAGTGTTGATGCACCTAACTAGTGAGTCTAGTTTATGCTCCCCATGTTAGGAAAATGTCTCAAGCAGAGGTAAGAGGAACGTGCTGGTTAGGTGTTCCATCTTCATATGATACCTTTGAGTACGAAATGATATCTGAATCTGGTGTATGGTAGAGTAAACTTTTTTATGAGTAGTTAGTAAAACTCTTATTCACCTATACTATATCACATCTTCTTGATCATCTAATGCTCATCTATGGTTTTGGTATTGAAAACAATGATATTGTCTCCCATTTGACAAGTCATGCATTAGAGTTTTTCAATTGCTAAATTATGATGAAGAGGACGTGTTTGCACTTGGGTTCTATAATGGGAATTACTTCTATGGATCCTTTCTCTGTGCTTTGAGGAATCACGAGAGTACAAAAACATGGTATTGTTTTGTTTGTCATTCTAGTTTAGGGCTTGCGTAATAGTATCATGGAAAAAGGTGACCGAGAAAAGGTTGAGATGTATCTAATTCGGAAGTTATTTTCTTTGCTTTGTTTTTACTGTTTCGTATTGGCTGCAAGTCTATGCTCAGATAGCTCAATGACTGAATCCCAGAAGGCTAAGTCTATTCTCCCATTTTTCGACATTTGCCTTTCCATCCTGCCAGTCTATGTTCAGATATCTTAATAAGGGTATACTAGATTTTCTTTGGGCACCCAGATGGAGGCTTTTATATTGCTGTGATTGAGCATGTTATTATGTCGGATGCTTGTGCAATGAGCACGTGTGTTTTTAGTACCATATGATAGAACAGTCACCTGGGAGCTGGGGTATGATTGAATGCAAGCTGAACGCCTTTTGTGCATGTGTTTGAGCTGAGGTATCTAAGTATCTGACAGATTTTCTCATGCTGTTGACTGTTGAGGCTTTTTGTTATGTAAACTCATTTATCATGTCAACATATTATTTTTTTGGAATCAGCAGTTCTCTCATTTTATCCTAGTTCTATTGAACTGTAATAGAACCCTGCATCAATTATCTTCTTTCTGTGATGTCAAATGAAATTTTCTCACAATCTTATTATGCAAAGAACTTTGCATGTCAAATATCTTTGTACTCCTTGAAAGTCTCCAATCTAATCAATTTGCTATCGTTTTGACTTAAGGTAGCAGGTAGAGGACACGCTAGCATAATTCTTGCTTTATTATGCGCTAGCATAATTCTCCTTGGCAAATGCACATCTTAAAGCAATGTCCTTAATCTAGGTTATCGATTCTAAGAGCTGATATTGATCTCAACGATTGAGAGGTGATTTTTTACTTGGACACCTAAAATATCACCAGTAACATTTAGCTAGTCGCTGTGATGTGTGAACTCTGAAGGTCAAGAAAGTGAACTGAGTGAGATGCCAGAGTGGGCTTTAAAAACCTAAGGCCTTTAAAACTCTGCCAAGCAAAATATACACGCACCAAACTGAATGGTTTTTATGGCTCTGTAATCTGGATACAGGCACTCCTGGCTGATTTTGAAGTCTGTGATGGCATCTGACATTTAAAATGCTGATTCAGTATGTTTATGGCTGGCAGCAAATTTATCTGTTAGAGTATTCATATAAACTGGTCGTACTCGAGTTTAATCAATGTACCTTTCTCTCCAATAATGATGTCAAGTATCTGATTTATTGCATAAGTTCGTGTTGCAGGCCTTCAACTCTTCTATGAAAGAACTTAGAGAGTGCTAAAGCAAGTTGAGAAGCTCTTGTTGCTGATCTACAATTCTTAAGGGACCAAGTAACAATCACACAGGTAAGTCAGAATTATGTGCAAAATGGAGGTCCATGTTGCTTTGCAGGCCGTTTACTACATCAGTTTTGGGTAGGGCTCTTAATCTCAAACTACTGTGCTGTGATTTTTATGATTTGTGTGAGGCTATTGGAAAGTCATGTTAATTTGTGGCAACCTAGATTAAGGTCAATGTTGCACTTGTGTGCACTTGAAAAATTCTAACCTTTTCTTAGGACCACATGCTTTAGTTTATTATGGCAATTGGGCTGGTGGCCCTTGGGATTTGCTCTTTGTCTGGGGGAAACAGCCTTTGACAGGTGAATTAATTTTTGGCAGGTTACGATTGCTCGTGTGTATAATTGGGATGTTCACCAAATGGAGAGTTTATCAAGCTGCTGCTGCTGCAAAAGACTCGTAAAGGGATCTTTTTTACTCAAATTATGTATCGGAATGTATACTCCGGATGGGAGTATGACTTTAATCTTCCCATTTGCGGTTAGGTTCATGAGTTACTTGTTGCTCTGTGATCTCAATTGTCACACCTTGACTAAGTGATTTTGGTTAGGTTTAGAGTGATCTGTTGCAGTACAAAAAGCTTATGTCATGTAGAGAATATTAATTCAGAACCTCTTGGGCTTGACCATTACTTTTTGAATACTGCACACTAGTGTTGAGTTATCTTTTGTCAATCTGTTTTGTCTCATTTCACCTCAATCATGTATGTTAGCAAGAACCAATTTAAAATTTGAATTCTGGGGAAGAACATGGACCTGGCTGAGCTCCACTTAGAAGTACATATGTCAGCAAAAGTATTTATAAGTCAAGTGACAAAGTGCCTTAATTTGGTGGCTCTCTAATGTTGTCAGACCTCACCTTATCTTAAGCCATCAAAAGGGTCATGGATCTTGGATGTTTCCTATTATATTATCCAGTTTTTCGGGTCAGCAGAGAACATGATTGATAACCCAAGATGTGTGATCAAGTCAACTGACCATATTCATACTCTGGCTGAAGATTTTGACACTTTTAGCACCTTTCCAGAAAGGAAAAATTTATTAAGTAGTTAGGAGCTTGAAAGATGCGTTGTTCTGCTACAATGTTTTCTGCTTTTTTGACTCAGATGCATCAGGTTTTGGTGGGGCCTCCATTGTTGTTGTTTGTCAAAGCTTTGTGTATTTTTTTTTTTGTATGCATCTGACAGGAAGTTGAATGGGGGCGCATGCCCTGGTTAACATTGCACCTAGGTTTTCTCGCATGGACCCGGGCATGTCGGTGGACATCCTCCAAAGTCAAACGGCATTTGCATTATTCTAGGTTGCGACATTGTGTGATCTCTCTGAACGTTTTCATGTGGGGGCGGCACAGAATATTTTGGGTTTTACACCATCCTTTGACAATTTGGGTCATGGGTTGTGTTGGGTGGCAGTGGTACAATCGATGCTAATGAAGTTGCTCCTACTTTCCGTCCCAAAACTCTGTATTGTGGACTGCCTTGCAAAATCAAGCTCTGCTCAGATACGATCGCTCGAGTGTTATTTTCTCGACGATCGTTGTGATGAGATTCTGCATCGAACTGGTCTCACGGCCTCAATATGACACACCCGATTCCGAGTTGCAGCGTCTATAGTCCTTGAACAGGTTGTCTTCCTGGAGATGCTCCTTTTTTTCATTGATGGTCCTGTCTTGGTGGTATACCGGACATGCAAGTTACCCAGGTAGTTCGGGAATCTCATGCAAGTTACAAAGGATTGGTTCCTTGTCCACTGTACATGTAAAAAGCAGTCGATTTGGGTCCCCCTTAAATGATATTTTACAGGACTCAAAAGGCTCGGGAGCCAGATTTGTTGACCGAGAGACCGACGTGACGCCTGGAATTCTGTTTTAATATGCAATTGCACCGCCTAATTGATCATTACCGATGTCATCATTGCGTGTGAATTTCGTACCAAGTCTTTAGTGGATGGACCAAATAATTTTCCTAACCAAGCTGACAATATCTTAATTTGTGCCCTAAAGGTGAATATCAGTAAGCAGAAAGAACATAAAGTCAATTATGAGGGTGTTGTGATTGAACGGATTGAATGTAGTCTGTGAAATCCTGTGAAATCACCAGGATGAAGAAGTCCTAGTGCAAACAGATCTTTTTCCCGTCGAAATTCCCACGGCAAGAGATTTAACGGTACGACTAACAATATCAACCAGGCGGGCTGAGATAGTTCCTTACGCTATCGATTAGTATCTTGAACAAGTATTCGCGTATCGGAACGAGTCCACCCGAGTGCGGAAGCGACTAGCAAACCGCTTGCATCGAAGGATTAACTAAAGAGAAACTAAAATTGCCTTTCCTCTCTCTCTCTCTCTCTCTCTCTCTCTCTCTCTCTCTCTCTCTCTCTCTCTCTCTCTTTCAAAAGAAGAAAGGTGTTTTGAAAGGGAAGACGCTGATGGACAAAAGTGGTCAACATGGAAATAGGTCCAAGGCTGAACTCCACTCACACTGGGTTGACCTTTGCAACGGGAAGAAGGGACCGATGTTTTGTAATTCATTCATTCAATGCCGGTCCCAATTCTGTCCCATGTGTTTTGACCATATTTCACCGGTCAAGCTTGCTTGATTGAACCCCCCCAAAAAAATTAGAAATTGCAAAGAATTGAACACCGAAAAATTAAATGAAATATAGTGAATTATACATATACACATATATATATATATATATATTCTATTTTCTAGAGTATCTTCCAACGCATAGAGAAAAGAGCTTTAATTTCCCCAATTTCTCGTCCCAAGGTTCCTAACGAAACTTTTTTGTAATAACAAAAATTGATCTTGCATGCCCACATGTAAATCCTTCTTAATCATCAGAATTTTAGGGGTTGACTGTGTCGTGCGATATTGTATTCTCATCTGGCAGGTCACGGGTCAAGTTGAAGTTTGCCAATGGGGAGATTCAAGTTGCAAGAAAAAAATGGAGAAGATCCCTCATTTGTGTTTTTTCCTTCTTTTATTTGTTTATTTATTTTTTGTCGAAGATTCTTTAGGACTTGGTCAATGACCCACTTAAAAATTTTGGCATCAGAAAAAATGCTGGCCACAAAATAAAAATGACAGGACTTGAAAAGATTTAAGAGCTTTTTGTGTAGGTGATTACTAGAAATAAGGAGGATGAAGAAGAGTTGTTGATATGACATCGACTCTGCCCTAAACTAGTGCACAAAATGTTGAGCTGGATGGCTTATGTATGCTCGAAAAGTTACGTCATATTTGGTGCAAATTACGTGATGACCGAGTAAACCACACGAGCGGTCATTGATATCAGCCGTTGCTTCTGCTAGCGGGTCGTTTCGATTTCTTTTCTGATGGGTCGCTCGACTTTCCGGATTTCTTTCGATCAGATTGTGTTTAACTCTGATCTTCCTTTCATTTGACTTCTAATTGGTGAATCTTAAGCGGACGAAAGTCAAACTGAAGTTCAGTATGAGCTAAATGTTAGGTGGCGGTGAAAGAGAGCTGTTCTAGTTACCGACAATTCCGTCCGAATGATTATTGGAGAGAACGATCCGATCGAAAGTTGAAAAGAAACAAGTCTGGTAACGTAATAGAAAAATCGAGCGATCCATTCAGACAAAAGCTAGGAAGAAAGCTTCGACGGCTGTCGACGTAATTTTGTTTCGCTAAAAAACTCGCGACGGACCAAATAACCGCGAACTTAAAACATTAAGAACCAATTAGAAGGATTGGCGAAATATGCACCAAATCAAAATACTCCATATATAAGCCATATAATCTCAAATCAAAATCAACACAAAAAAAAAAGAAAAAAAAAATCACTCCCACGATTGGCGAAACCACTGACGACCCAAAAATAAAAATCAAATGATTCTTGCACCGTTTCATGCAAAATCGTGAGACGGCACCATTTCTGAAATTTTTTTTTAAAAAAAATAAGTTAAAGAATTAATTGATTAATTAAAAGGAGGGAAGAATAAATTAAAGGAAAAAATATATATAAATAAATAAACAGAGACGTGCACGCAAGACGAGGCAGATTTGTCCTTCACTGCGCTGCAAATTAAAGCCGTTTTGTCCGCTTCTGTAAAAACGCGTTAACGCATCGAATAATTCCCGCCCGCCTCTCCCCTCCCCTCCCCTCCCCTCCCCTCTTTCGAACCCACAAAATTCCTTTTTTTTATCTTCCCTCTTTTTTTTTAATTTATAAAAAGAGGGATTAAATCTAAATCTAAATTAAATATAATAAAAAATTTCGATGAGAATAATGGGGGGGGGGGGTGGAAATTAAGAAATATCCCTGTTTGACTTTGACTTGGGGGCTCCCGTTTCTTGTGGCCAGGATGGGGATGGGATGCGGAGGTGGGGGGCAAAGTCAAAAAGGGAGGGCAGGCCCAAAAGGGTAAATTCGGGGGGAGTTTTGTAGGGGGTTGAGGCCCTGCAAAATAATTATTATTTTGACGTGAGAGAGGCGTCCTCTCAATCGGAGGTGGGGGACTAGAATAACTTGCAAATGCCGCAATCAGCGGTCAGTCCCCCTCTCCCTCTCCTTCTCTCTTTTCTTTTTTCCATTATTTTTCTCAGGGAATATTAAAGAGGCAAAAAAAAGGAAGAAAAGAAGAGAGAAATGAGAAAGATGGTTCATCGGACCGAACTTCTAGATTGCGTAATAGTCAACGGGGTTCCGGCCTTCGGGTTTCGGTTCCGGTTCCGGTCGGGTTGTCCCCCCCCCCCCCTCTCCCCCGGGAGGGCGATGCTCGCGGGGGCGGGGCCGGCAGTGGATACAGGTGGCTCGTGAAACTTGAGAGAGGGCGAGACGAGTCGAGCAGGGAGGAGGGGGGGGGGACGAAAACGTGAAGTTCAGGATGTCTAGTGGTTGACGGGACATGTTAAAAACGGGTCTTACAAAGTTGAGTTGTATTCAGTAAATGGGTCATAAAATGATTTAGAAGAGTAAAATCCAAAATAATATAGTTGTTAAATGGGTTCACAAGTTACTTAGACCCAATCCATCTCCATGACTGTCTCTAGTCCATGCTCGATCTCTCGCTCACTCATCCCGTGCTCTCATTTCAGTTTGGGTATGAGTTTTTCTAAATTATGTTAAATAAACAAGTGTTTTAGCAATTTGGATCGGGTCGGGGATGAATTTGGTATGAATCACTGGATTTATAATGCATGAAAATAGGTCAATTTTGATCGGATCATTTTCGATCCGACCTGACCTACCCGTTTGACGGGTCTAGCCACTACTGTTGTCGGTCTATCTCTATCATGAGATAAAGGTAAGTTTCATTTACACAAGCTACAAACTCGACATAATTGGAAATTCTCGTCCATTTGTGTCGTTCTTAGTTTATCGACTTTTGTTCACGCAAACATCTTTAAATCTAGTCAATTCTTGTCCAAAGTTGTCCCGCCCGAATGTCAAGGCACTTGTCGTCATGTCCTTTGCTGTTAAAGTGTTGCACATCCATCTTCTTCAATTTGATGTTTCATTTGAGTTCTCTACATCATATTTTATTTTTTCACATCACAAGTAACATGTGGCCATATTTCTCGTAAGTGTCGTCACTTTATTTGGGTTTTATGATTCAAGTTCAAATTTTTACTCGATTCACTGAGATTTCAATGTGATTGTTACTAAGAATGAGGAGGAATAGAATGCCCTGATCTAGTCACGAC